GAAAATGTGTAACATAACAGATAAACTTTATTTTGATTTTACACAAATCAGATGATCCCTCCTTGAATCGGATTGGATCACGTGCCTTTGTTTACTTGATAAAAGGAGTAATTTTTTTATTTTGCAACATTATTGTCAGACATGACAGACTATTTTAACTTTATCAAGGAAAAACATAACAGCCCTAGTTTATATACTTTTTACATTTTCAGTGCTATTACAAATAAAATAGATTTAAAAAAACCGATTATAGAAATAAAACGAAGTTTAAACAAAGATTTTGCCAAAACAATAAAACTAAACTCAAATGAATTTACGGCGAGTATGATATTTTTTATTAAAATGTCTATTGCAAATTATGATATAATTTGAATATCAAATGATGCTCTGGAATTAAACCCCTTGCATAAGAATAATCCATTTACCAAATACAGCCTAATATTTAAATACCCCTTACATAAGAGTAATCCATCTGTGAGTTTAATGATTTAAAATTCATCCTTACATAAGAATAATTTAATTTGTTAAATACTTTTTGATGCAAGGCTTATAAATTTAAATTATTAGCATAGAAATAAACCATTTGGAAAAATACTTCTTGATGTGAGGCCCGTTTTAATATATTGTAATTTGTTGAATTGGTCCTTCTTGTTGTGAGGTCATTAATTCTTCAGAGCTTGAACATTTGATTTATTCATTACTGAAATATGTAATATTTAATAACTAGTAAATATAAATTGCAGAATTGTAATTAATATATACATTATATCTTTTTTTTTTTTTTTAGAACGAACTCAAAATTTTAATAAACATAATTGAAGAAACTCAAAGTAAAAATTCATATGTAAAATATGGTAGATATATTGAAGATTGTGCCAAAAATCTAGGATGGCACGAACTTTTATGTGACTCTGTATATGATCCTTTACGACTTGTAGAAGCAAAAAATCAGATTATAAATGTAATAATTTTTTTTTTTTGTGATTTTTATAGTTTTATAATATCTAAATTAATATTAATTGTTAAGCTACAATACAAAAATGTAAACGATGTTGTGAAGACTATAGCTCAAACTTTACCAAGCATGTTATTAAGTCCTAATAACTTGATTCTTTCTGAGATATTGGATATTCCTACTTTGACAAGTGAAAGCTCTCCAATAAAGACATCTTTAAAAAAGAAGAAATTATGGAAATTAGTTAAAAAACCAATAAAGTTTTTATTACTACCGGATAATGTAGAACAATTTGTTATAAAGTGTATCGAAAATAAAGATAAAAATATTAAAATACCAAGAAAACATGCATCTTTATTTGTTAGAATTAAAAATCTAGTTAATTCAATGTAAGCTAAACGCATTTGTCTATATTATAGTAATGATTATCTCTGGTAATCTAAAATTTTAATTATAAGAATTAGAGTATGGAAAAATTCTGAATACCAAACATGTCGACCAAATATCAACGAATCCACTTGGGGTCATAATGTGATAAAACCTATCATCGATTTTATTGAATACGATCTAGAGACAGAAATCTTAATAAGATGGTAATTTATAACTTTAATTTATTTATAAGATTTAGTAGTTAAAAAGATTTTTTTGTATAGGGATGCAATCACTAGCCAAGCGAGCTTAGACAGAAATGGTGATAAAGGTCCTATTAAAAAATACGATATATTTGGTGTGAGCAAAGACAAAAATATGATATAGAAATCATGCTTGGTGAAATATCACATGGACCCCTAGATGAAACCCTCATTCATTCAATTGAAGACAGAATTAAGTTAGGAAAAGGAGCAAAGGATTCATTAGATAGTATATTAAGAACTTATTCCAAATCACCAAATTTTAATTTAACAAATTTAAAAATCTTTTTGTTATATTCACATGGTTAGTAAAAATTTTTTAACGTTTATAAAATTCCCATTTATTTAAAAAATTTAAATATAATATTTATTTAGGGACAAAGTTGGAATTTTTAATTTTTGATAAAAAATATTCACCAATGTTCAGAATAAGAAGATTAGCAATTATTGAAATCCCCTTTAAAAAGGGATCACATTTATTAGAATTAATTAAAGTTGTGCACACCTTTAAAAGTCTTATAGAAGAAACTGTAGTAAATATAAAATTTTTTAAAAAAGCAAAAAAATATACTAATTATGTTATTAATGATGATGATAAAGACGAAGAGGATGAGGATGATGAAGGAAGTGAAAATTATGAAAGTGAAGATAATGGAAGTAATGATGAAAGAAGAGAAGATTATGAAGATAATGAAAGTAAAGAAGATAAAGAGAATGAACATGAAGAATTAGAGAATGAAACAATCAAAAGTGATTGGAATAGATATAACATCCCAACATTTAATATGCCAATTTTACAAAAAAAGAAAAAAAGACAAACAATATCTAATTTCTGATTTAAATTTTATTAATTAGAAGTGGGTATTGAAATTTAATAAATGTTTTAAAGCAAATATTTACAAAATGCGTCATATAATATTCTAATAAAATTTTAGAGCATACGAATAGAAGAAAGAAATTAAATGTTCAAATTGTTCGGTAAGATGTAAAAGCTGTATATCATGAGGAGAGAAAGCAATGCTCCCAAACTTATCCTGGAATAATAACTGGCAGAAATAAATTTATAAGATTTTATTTTTTAAAAAAATTCATACTGAATTGTTTATCTTTTTTACTTATTGTATAAAAATTACAGTATGTGTAATATACAATATGAACAAAGTGGATTTGAAACTTTATCCTATACCATTATAGTATGTGGCATTACGCTAGCATTCAAGTTGTAAAGTAAATTATCAAGTTT